GGGTCACCAGGATGCCCCAGATGTGCAAGGCCACGTCAGGTGAGGGCGGGGTGGGGGGAGGGGAGACCCGACTGGGGGAGGAGGTCAGGATGTGAGCTGGTGGGGACCTGTTTCAAGGACTTGCAGGTTTTCTTAGCGCCTGCAGTGAGGAGAGATGTTGATTCTAGAAACCTAGCTGTCAGCTGCGTGAGACCAGAGGTCTCCCTCCCCCTCCTTCCCCATCCCTCCCATCTACCCCTGGTTTTGCCGAGCGACAAAGGTGGGAAGGGTAGGGCAGCATATAAGCCCCCGCCCCCGTGTGGGCTGAGCCGTCTCCCATTTCAGCCTCCTGAGTGGGGGCACACACCATCTCTCTAGCCGCTCTTCCTTGTAAGGACAGAGATCCAGCAAGCCACGAAGTCTGCCTCTCAGGGTTTATCCAGTCACACGAGCACCTTTCCCCCAGTGAAAAGGGAGACGGTGATAGGTTAGCGATCCGAGTGGTACCCTTGCAGAGGAAAGCGTGCTCTGGGCATGGCTTGATCTTGAAGCCCCGAGATTTGGCCAGTCTCCCCAGGTAGCGCAGACTGGCTACGAATGAGGTGGTGAGCTCCGTGTGTGACCTCCCTGGGTGACTTCATAGATAACTTGTGACTGCTCCTTTTGTTCCCATTTCACTGGTGTTACGATCTAACCGAAGTGATTTCTGTAAAGTGCTTTCGATGCTCTGTAACCCTATTAGGAGGAGCCGCGGTTGGACTGGTCAGGAGTATTTCTGTTGTGTCAAAATTGTAGCCCTTGTCTGGTAGATTTGCTTTACCTAAAGAGATTAGGTCAATCTTTTGAAATATTTTAGACTAAAAATTCTAAGTGGCTGTATATGAGCTTTACTGATGAAAAAGACTCCATTCCCAAGAAAGCAAAGGGATGCGTTTAAGCAGGATTTACTTCCTGCTTAATTTTCCCAACTAAGAAAGCCCTGCCCCCATCAGTAAGCTCCTGGTAGGCAGAGCTGGATGAACTTTGAAAAGCCCAGCCCTGTCTCAAGTGTCCTAACGTCGTCACTTGTAAGCCTCAAACAGCAGGGACCACAGGCTTGGAGAACCTTTCTGGAGGTTGCCTGTTCGTAACGAAGAGCACAGTTTTAACACTGGGGCCACCTGGGGAAGCGCCTGGGGGTGTAGCTCTCTGGTGTCCAGAGAAATAGGCCCTCCCTGCACTAGGCCAGCTCAGGTCACCCACAGAGGACCATGAAGGCCATCGCCATCCCTGTGGCCACTTCCCAGTGGCAAAGCGGGGACCGAGGACCCCAGGAGGGCTTGACTCAGAATGGAGTCACACAGCTGTGGGGAGAAAATGGAATTGGCTGCATGTGGGGAAAGGGTGAACGTTTCCCCACGGGGACCCTGTCACAGGGTCACACCCAGCATCTCTGGAAAGAAGCTCCTTCACTTGGCCGTGTCTGACCCCTGTCTTTTCTGCGCCACCTACATGCAGCTGCCTTACCTCAAAGCCAGAGAAGCTCAACGCCGTCAAGTGAAGTTGGAGCGACGCCCCCCAGCAGCCCCCACCACATCCTGACCTGGCAGACCGGGTGAGTTCCCCTCTCTGATCTCTGGTTCTCCCTTCCAGGTTCTGGAACAATCCTCAGCATCCCTCGTCAGTTAGAAAGAGTAGAAATGAAAGATCCTAGGGACAGAGGGCTTATCGGCAAAAGAATGATGTGTCTTCAGCACTGGGAAACCCCTTCCTTCCCGAAGGAGCCCAATGCATTGCTGTCACCCACCACCCCTCTCACTTTCCATTGCTGCCTCTTTCTTCGGGTGAATTCTGTCTACTTTCTTTCAAAGCTGGTGGTGGCCCCTGGAACGTGGGGAAGGTGGGTCCTGGAAGTTAAACTGCACCTCTTTGGCCAGAATTCCAGACGGCATTTGATGTGGGTTCCGATGACACCAGGCTGACCTCAGAATGCCAGCCAAGGAGAGCCTTAAGCACCCCCTGTGCTGAGCCCCAGCCTGGTGTTTCACCTGCTCCACAGTGTGGCCACTGTCTTGGTGTCAGGATGCAGCCTGAGAGAAAAAAGCAGCAGGCTCAGATCCCCTCTCTGTCCCAGCCAACCCCTTGTTCATAACCAATAAACAAAGGGGATCAGGCACTCTGAGACCTTAGGAAGTGGCCCACAGTCCATGAAACCAAAACTCAGCTCCTTTTTTAGCTTTAAATGTAGGCATAGGACACTAGACGGGGACACGTAGAATGTTCTGGTCCATGGCAGAGTCTAGCAGATACATGTCCCCTGCCTCCTGCTCCCCTCACCATCCCTGCCTCTTGCTGCTCCTAGCATGTAGCCGCTGAGACGCTGTTACATTCTGTCAATACCGCCTGCCTAAGGGGGTTAGAGGTCCCTTCATCCGGCTTATTCAGCGTCTGCCGGAGCCTCGGTGGGGATGTCTGGGAAAAGGTGCCGGCTGTCTGTGAGTGAAACCGGGGGAGGAACTGGGCCAAAGGGCTCACTGACCGCATTCCAGGCTCCGTGCTTGGCCGGCATTTTTTGTTCATGCAGATTTGTCTCTAGTGATGTTAAACCAGGCTTTTATTCAGCCTGGGTAGGTGCTAACAGGTACTGAGTGCTTGCTGTGTACTCAGAGGCAGGGCATCCCTTCTAACACACATGAGCTCAGGGAAGTACCCGGATTCCTCAGCTCTGTACACGCGGCTCGGAGGGGATCTGTGCCTCGCCAGTGTCGCTCAGCTGGAATTTCAGCCCTGCGCTCTGTGGCCTCAGAGCCCTGTCTTTTCCCCCTAAGCCAGTGGTTCTTAAAATGCGGTCCCCAGGCTAGGAACATAAGCCTGGGGTCTTGCATGTTGCAGGCCCACCCATGACCTCCGGCACCAGAAACTCTGGGGTGGGGCCCAGCGGCCTGTGTGCTAACAAGGCCTCTGGGGGTTCTGATCACGGAAGCATCCCTGTTGCCTCTTACTCCTCTTGAGTTAAGAGACCCTGTGGTCCCAACTGCCAGTGTTCTTGTGGCCACTCTGACTGCTCTGTCTTTTGAGCAGCGAATACCCCCTGCCGTTATTAATACACGTCCCTAAAACACTCCCTTAACGTATCATCCAGACCCCAGCTCTCGCTCTTGTGGCCAGGCAGCCTCTGCAAGTCTTAGGGCCCAAGAATTTCTAGAAGATAGATTCATAAAAGATTGACAGCACTTCTGTCTCTGTGGTACCTCCGGTGGCAAACCCATCTCACCCCGAATAAGGAGCCTCAGATTTCAGGCTGTCGCTCTGGTTTTTTGGTTCACACCCAGTCTTACGTGAGCCAAATGTATGATCGTTACTTAACTGACAGCAGGCTTTGGAACTTACGGGTACCCCCCACTTGCCTTTACACTGGAGTGGGTCTCAGAACGTGCCTGTGTTTCATCCCACACAGCCAGTGAGGACTGAAGACAAATTTGAAAAAAAAAGAAATTTTGGTCTTTAACCTCTTTTGTAGGGGGGAGGGTATAGCTCAGTGGTAAAGCGTGTGCTTAGTGTGCATAAGGTCCTGGGTTCAATCCACGGTACCTCCATTTAAAAAAAATAAATAAATAACCTAATTACCTCCCCCCCAAAATTACTAAATTTAAATTCTTTTTATCAGACTGACTTGAACTATCATTAACAAACAATGACTAGTCTCTGTGAAAAGAAAATGAGAAATGGGTCAAACGTGCTGAAGCCTGCCGGCCTTCCTAACAGAACTAAAGCGGTGTCTGATTCACGCATGGGGGCTGAAAGTGCCACAAGACTTGTGTTATTTGTCACTCACTTTTGGGTGTGTGGCCAGCTGGGCTTTCCGATGTGTTGATACACTGCTCGTTGCGTCTGTGTCAGTCCCTCTAACATGACCTCTCTTCTCTTCCTCCTCCCGCCTGCCTCTGTTCAGAGAAGCAACAGAAGACTCGCCCATCATGGATGGGTCTGAGTCTCCAGCTCACCAAAGTACTGATGAATAGAGGTATCGTAAGGGAACGCTTTGTTCTCGCAGCCCTTCCCCTCACTGCTTGTGGGTCTGTGATCGCAGCTGTGCTGCAGATGTCTTGCCTGTGCCCAGATCATAATTTCCAGTAGGAAACATCTGGGGGGTGGGGAAGCCGTTGCTTCCGTGTCTTATTTCTAGATACACGTGGAACTTGATGTTTCCATGTATGTTTTACATCAGATGTTGGATATTGCCACTGCTGCTTCCCAGAAAAGCCCTCCGAGTCTGCCTGAGGCCTTCCCAGGCTCCGTGTGCACACAGACACCTGTACCAGTGTTTACTGGCTTAGTTACCAGTGTTTATTGAAAGGAACAGCATCATGCAGTTGACGTCTCAAAACGCTCAGGGCAGACTGAGTTGGTCCAGAAGCACCTGAAGGTCAGCCATGATTTCATCCCAGTGTCCCTGAGTGACAGCTGTACACTCCACCACGTGCTGCAGGACCCTGCTTTCCAAAATGTGGTCCAGACAGTTATCAGCCTCCTCATCACCTGGGAGCTTGTTAGACAGCAGACTCCTGGACCTACTGAATTCGAATCTGCATTTTGGGGGAAGGGTATAGCTCAAGTGGTAGAGCGCACGCTCAGCACTCAAGAGGTCCCGGGTTCAATCCCCAGTACCTCCTCCAAGCGGAGATCAATGAAGAAACCTAATCACCTCCCCCTCAGCAAACAAACAATACAAGCAAAACGAACCTGCATTTTAACAAGCTCCCGGGGTAAATCAAACGCATGCTGGAATCTGCAAAGCCCTACTACAGTGGGCACAAAACCAGGAACACCTGGTCTGGTTCCTGTCCCCGGGGGCCACGGTCTAGCTGGGAGACAAGGCACTGAAATTAATAGCATTTCAAGAGGAAACTAAAAAGATCAGGATACCATTCAGAAATGGATTTTAAAAAAAAGAGCTATACGTCTGTTCAGTCAAAAATGGCACCTTGACTCTATTCCAGGAGCCAAGCTAGAGACCAGAGATCTAAGAGTTCAAGTTCAAATTAACAGTTTGAAGGGGAAGAGTATATAGCTGAAGTGGTAGAGCGCATGCTCCGCACCCAAGAGGTCAGGGGTTCAATCCCCAGTGCCTCCTCCAAGCGGAAATCAGTGAAGAAGCCTCATTACCTCCCCCTCAGCAAACAAACAGTACAAGTCAAAGTAACAGTTTGCAGATCTATCCAGAAACACACACAAAGGGAGTAAGAAATTGCAGCCTTCCTGTAGTAAGTGCTCTGAGACTGGAAACAAAGTGCTAAAAGGTTCCATAGGGGGAGAGGTCCTTCTGGCTGTGGTGGGAGGAGGGGGCCAGACAGGTGGAGGCCGCGGGAGGCCACTCCCAGGGCAGAAACACAGACGCAGAAACAAGCAGGGCTGCTTGGGGGACAGCAGGCTCGTTTCGCTGTAGAGAAAGAGCCAGACTTCAGCCTGCCAAGCAGGGTAGGACGAGGTCCTGAACCAAAGGACGGAGATGTGGGAAAGCTTTTACTGCGAGTGCCCTGAGCTGGCAGATGGGGGGTTAGGAAAACAGGGGCTTAGCCTTTGAGAGAAAGATGGTGTTAAAACAAAATTCAACTGAGTAAATCGGAAAGATCTTCCTGAATCAGGCAGCAGCCGCTCTAGCAGGCAGGCAGGTGCTCTGAGGAGCTGTACAGAGTGGGAGGCTCTTGTAGACAGAAGGGAGCAGGGACAGGAAGTCACGCCAGGCGGCAAAGCAGGCTGGTTGTGGCAAAGTCACTTCCCTTCAGGGGACGGCAGGGGTCTCCCCGGCAGAGGCGCTCACTGGTGCTGACCAGGCCACTCCTGACTGACGGCTTTCAGGTGCCACTTCTGGGATAGGTGACACTGTACAGTCAGCTCTCGGTTTGGTGACATGGAGCTTAGCCTAAGCGACTCCACTGGGGACCTGCTGTCCTGTTTCTAACAGTTTCTCCTCTTTGCCTCGGAGAGGCGATCGCAGTGAGAAGTTAGCGCTCCCCCAGCTCTGGCTCTGGCGTCCTAACTCCAGGGCCCCTGCGTGGTCTTCACAGCTCACGGTGCTGGGTTCACAGTCTTTCAGTCAGTTATTCTTTTTGTTCCTTTTCTGGCGTCCTGTTCTGAGGGAGAGCGTTTGCTTGGTGGCCAGTGGCTGCAAAGTTGCATTCAAAGCTTCTGAGAGCATAGAGCACACTGCGGCGACGACTGTGGTTCTTCCAAGCAGAGTCATTCCCAGTGTCTGGAGTAACCTCCGAGCCGTGCTTCCCCCAAGCCCAGACTAATCAGAAGTCAGTCAAAGAAAGATCCTGTTGAAGGAGCCACTTCCGTAAGCCGATTGGCTTGTCCAGTCATCCTTGTCGCTGAGTCTCGGCGTCCCCAGAAGTGTCAGGTGGTGTTGGTCACAGCGCAGATGCTCCTCGCTCAGCTAAAGGATAATCAGGGCTTTCTTATCGTCAAGAATGACTTTGGCCCGAGAGTCCAGGGCTTTGTATTGGGCAGCGATGGCTTTACCAGTAGATTCGGCTGTATCTTCAAGAGGTAAGGACAGTGCTAATCCGAGCCTTGTTTGCACCCCTCCTGGCCAGGGGAGTGGGGAGCTGC